AAAAAAAAAAAAAAAAAAAAAAAAAAAAAAAAAAAAAAAGGAAAGAAAAGAAAAGTGTGATTCATCCAGATGGGCAACAGGAAGTGCAGTTTGGGAGGGGTGTGTGAAGGAAGGAAGTTAGCTTAGTCCACCCAGTTACTCTCTGGTGTCAGAGGACATTAGTCAAAGCCCCTTAAGTGAGAAGTGGGTCAGCATTGAGAGCATGGCTGCTCTTTCAGAGGACCTGGGTTCAATTCCCAGGACCCACCAGGCAGCTCACAACCATCTATAGAACTCCGGTCCCAGGAGATCTGATGCCCTCTTCTGGCCTCCGAGGTACTGCATGCACTTGGTGCACAGATGTACGTTCAGATAAACACATATAGGCATACATTTTAATTAAATAAAATCTAAAAATAAAGTCACTTGTCCAGTTCTGCTTATCTACAACAAATCAGTGAGCTAAGCAGCATCTGCTGGCACATACCTTCTACCTGCCAGAGGACTTTGAAACTTTCCATGGCTACTATAGCCATATGCAACTCACACCCATATGCAAAACTCTGCGCTCAGCTTGGACTTTCTCTCTCTCCCTCACCTTCCCCTTTTAAAGCATGAACTCTATCTGTAGACCAGGCTGTCCTCAAACTCACAGATCCACCTGCTTCTGCCTCCTGAGTGCTGGGATTAATAGCGTGCACCACCACTGCTAGTCCAGCTTAGACTTTCTCATTCCATCCTAACTTGAGCTGTTTCTTTTCTTCCTCAGCTCCAGCAGCAGACAGCACCCAAGAGAGCTACAGACCAGCTAGGGTCTTACAGATACCGGGGAAGCCATAATTAGGCTTTCTTCTAATTCAGCACATGACCCCTGAGCTGCTATCTTGAGTCTTCTGACAGAAGAGTTGTCATCAGCTCAGTGTTACAACCTTCCCTGTAAATCTAAGTCATCTCTAACTTTCACTGGTTCACTCTGACCCATGGTGATAAGAGCCTAGCTCTTGTGGCCAGAACAGACAATGTGAGGAGAGGGGGAAGAACCTGACAGTTGCTGGGATCACAACCAGGTTACAGTCGGATGAAGTCCCCAGATGTCCCATAGGTAAGTAAATATAGGAAATAATTTCTCCCATTTGGGGTATACTTGGCAGAGGCTCAAGTTTTCCATCAGATGAAACCTATTCCACCGTTGGATAGTGATGGGAGAAGGAGATAGCAGATCAGTCTAACGGCTCCCCATCTATGATCTTGGCTAAGGGTAGTTCTACAAAAGACTTACTCCCTTCTGAGCTTGGTCCATAGGGAGTTTCTCCATCTGATGGCTCCTGGTGGCTTGGGTTCTCCCTGACCCTTCCTTCGGGATTTTACTGTTGGGCTTTAAATGGATTGCTGGATTGGCATTTTATTTTATTTATGTTTTAGTTCTGGAGACTGAACCCATGGCCCAGGCATGATAGGTAAGAACTCTACTCCTGATTAGCTCTTTAGAACATTCTCTGCTTCTCAAGGCCTGGGAGACTGCCTCAACTTCTCCTGGATCCAACTTTGACTCTTTTCTTTCTCTTTCTTCCTTTCTTCCTTTCTTCCTTTCTTCCTTCCTTCCTTCCTTCCTCCCTTCCTTCCTCCCCCTCTCTCTCTCTCTCTCTCTCTCTCTCTCTCTCTCTCTCTCTTCCTGTCTGTTTTTCAAGACATGGTTTCTCTGTGTAACAGTCCTGGTTGTCCTGGAACTTGCTCTGTAGATCAGGCTGGCCTTGAACTCACAGAGATTCACTTGCCTCTGCCTCCCGAGTGCTGGGATTAAAGGTGTGCGCCCTTGCCACCCAGCTCCAACTCTGACTCTTAAAATCTTAGCCTGAACTGGAGTCCTGGGTCACCTTTGTTTAGAAGTGACTAAATATTAATCAACAGAGGATGGATGGAACCAGGAAGAACAATAGCAGAGCCTCAAAGTTGATTACAAAGAAGTGTAACTGGGGAGGCTGCGGCAAAAGTGGGAGAGAAAGCACAATCGGAGGGAAGAAATCAGGCTGGAGAGACTGCACAGCAGGTAAGAGGACTTGCCGTTCCTCCACCAAATTCACTTCCCAGCACGAATCCGATGCCTTACAACCACTGGCTCAAACCCACCCAAATTCCAGCTCCAGGTGATCTGATGCTCTTTTCTAGCCTCCATGGGCACCTATACACACACACAAACACACACACACACACACACACACACACACACAGCACACACACACACACACTGTAATCTTTCAAAAAAAAAAAAAAAAAAAGTACTGATAAAACATCAAAGGAGGGCTGGAGAGATGGCTCAGCGGTTAAGAGCACAGACTATTCCACCAGAGGTCCTGAGTTGAATTCCCGGCAACCACATGGTGGCTCACAACCACCTTGAATGAGATCTGGTGCCCTCTGCTGGCATGCAGGCAGAAGACTGTATACATAATAAATAAATAATTTAAAAAAAAAAATCAAAGGAGAGAGGGGTCCCTGTGTCACATGCAGCTGAGAAGTTTAGAAAAAATGATTGACAGCTAAGAAACCACTGGAGAGCCATGTGGTGGTGGGGAATCTGTGAGTTCAAGGCCAGTTTGGTCTACAAAAGGAGTTTCGGGACAGCCAGGACTGTTTCTCAGAGAAACCCTGACTTGAAAAACCAAACCAAACCAAACCAACCAACCAACCACTGGAAACTTAGCGTGCTTGGTGGCCTGGTGAGGGCAGAAACAAGAACAAAGAGGATTTTAGACACCAAACGTGCATCTGTAATGATTTTTCTTTTCATGAGTGTTTCGCTTAGCTAAGAGAGACAAATAAATTGCCAGCCTGGTCTGACTCAGAATCACAACTACCACAATTCCCAATATTTATTTATATATTTATATATTTTGTTTTTTCAAGACGGAGTTTCTCTGTGTAGCTCTGGGTGTCCTGGAACTCACGCTGCAGACCAGGCTGGCCTCGAACTCAGAGATCTACCTGCCTCTGCTGAAATTACATGAGCCACCACCACCCAGCTCATTTATTGGCCCTTCTTTCTCCTCAAAGGTTTAACTATATAATAAAATGTCTATTGAACATCTTCACGCCATGTTTCAACATTTGCTTATTACCATTATTTGATCTTAGAATACCAACCAGCCTGTAGTCCTAGCTGACTGAGGCAGCATGATCACTGTCACTTGGCGGGGCAACAAAGCGGACACGCACGCCTTCTGCTGGATACGTCACAAACTGCAGCCTAGCCAGAGCCGGGCCTGCCTTGGTTCGCTTCTCAGAAGAGCTTCTGAGGAAGCCGTAGGGTTAGTTCGCGCATAGCTTTCTGGGAAATGTAGTTAGATGTTTGAGTTAGAACTACAAATCCCGGCACGCGCCGCACTGGAGCTACCTCGTTGAGGGGGGTGTTCTGGAGACCCCGAATCTTGTTTGTCAGTGCTTTTAGCAATGCCTTACAAACTTGACTCGGTGTTTACAGGAGGCTTTGGGGGGAACATTATAGCTGCCTTGACGCTGATGCACAGGCCGACTTTTGCTTCCGCCGCTTCCTCATTGTGGCGAATCTGCCGCTGCGGCACTATGGCTAGACACCTAGGGAAGCATGTGGAATCGGCTGTGGCAAGTACGACGCTTAAGGTTCTGGGTCCCTTACGGTCATGGCGGCTACTGCCCCCAGTGCCGGGGCTTCAGCTGCGGAGTCGGCGACTTCCGCCGAAGCTCCGCTGCAATACAGCCTTCTTCTGCAGTACCTGGTGGGCGACAAGCGTCAGCCCCGGCTCCTGGAGCCTGGCAGCCTGGGCGGGATCCCGAGTCCCTCCAAGAGCGAGGAGCAGAAGATGATCGAGAGGGCGATGGAAAGTTGCGCCTTCAAGGCTGTGCTAGCCTGCGTGGGAGGTGAGGCGAGGCTCGTGGGACCCTTGGGAGGCTGAGGGCTTGGAGGGCCTTGGGGTTCCTTGCCAAGACCACGCGCCTGGGAGGCGAAGGACCTGTGGGTCTCGACCTTGATTGCTCCCCGACTGGCTCAATGAACCCGAAGATGCCGCTCTTGATCCTGGGGTTAACATTCACAGTTGGGAGCTGGAACGTTCGAGAATCAGTTAAACTACGGTCAGGGCCTGCAGATTGTTAAGTGGATGCTTTCGTTCATTCATTCATTCATTCATTCATTCATTCATTCATTCATTCATTCACAAACTAAGCAACTGTCGTGTGTTAGGCAGTGGGACTATGGATGAAAGTGACAAGAGCCCTGATAGAGAATTTCTAGGACCCGGGCAGAAGAGTGCTGTAGACACATAGGGAATTGCAAATGCAAAGGTCCTCAAGTCAGAGAAATTTGAAGTTAATTCCAGCACTCGGGAGGCAGAGGCAGATGGATCCCTGTGAGTTCGAGGCCAGTCTGGTCTACAGAGTGAGTTCCAGTACAGCCAGTTCTACATAGAGAGACCCTATCTAAGGGGAAAAAAAAAAAAAAAAAAAAAAGGCCACTGTAATTAGACTGTCGGGGTGGGGTAGGATAGAACATAAAAACAAACAAATACACACACTTCCAGTGTGCAGGTAAAAAGGTTGACTGTATTTGTGGATGAGTTTAAATTTTATTGGGAATGAAAAACATTTGTGAAATCCAAATAGCAGGAGTTCAAGTCTTAAAAATTGAGGATGAAGAGGCAGTCAGATCTGAGTTCCAGGCCAACCTGGTCTATATAGTGAATTCCAGGACAGCCAGGGTTACATAATAGAGACACTGTCTTCAAAAACAAAACAAAAAACTGACCAAACAAAAAGCAAACCTTAAATGTACTACAAAGAAGAGAGAGTTTTGGAGCTGGAGTGATTGGAAAGCAAGACATTTTGGAGAGGGGAGATAGAGTCTAGTTTCATTGAAATTAATTACATTGATTTTTTTTTATTTTTTGAAATTACATTCATCTTGAGGTGATGAGAAGACATCCATACAGAAATGGCTGGGGACAAAGTGCAGTTGATAAAGTGCTTGTCATGCAAGCTTGAGGATCTGAGTTCAATACCCAGCATCCTGTAAAAAGCCAGGTATGGCTGGGTGAGGTGGCCCAGGCCTCTAATCCCAGCACTAGAGAGGCAGATGGATCTGAGTTTGAGGCCAGCCTGGTCTACATAGCAAGCTCCAGGACACCTACACAGACAGACTATATAGGCTGTGTCTCAGAAAGATAGACAGACAGACAGACAGATAGATAGATAAATAGATAAATGTCAGGCCTGAAAATGACTTGTAATCCCATTACTGGGAAGACAGGCAGACAGATCCTTGGGGCTCAGTTACTAGCCAGCCTAGCCTAATCAGTTAGCTCTAGGTCCATTGAGAGACCCTCTTTAAAAAAGAAAAAAGTGGCCAGGGGTAGTGGCACCTGATTTTAACCCCAGCACTCCAAAGACAGGCAGGTAGATCTCTCTGAGTTTGAGGCCAGCCTGGTCTACAGAGTAAGTTCTGGGACTGCTAGGGCTATTACACTGAGAAACCCTGTCTTGAAAACAACGAAAGAAAGAAAGAAAGAAAGAAAGAAAGAAAGAAAGAAAGAAAGAAAGAAAGAAAGAAAGGTGGATGGTTCCTGAGTAGTGACACCCCAGGATTGAACTCTGGCCTACACCCACACCCACACAAAGAAATGTTCAAGGTTTAGACAAGACATTTGTTGACAGCAACCTAGGATTTCCCACATAACAGCCATGCGACTTTGGACACAGTTACTTAGCCTCTCTAGCTTTGGTTTAGAGAGGACAGCTGGGTGGTAGTGACACACGCTGTTAATCCAAGAACTTGGGAGGTAGAGGCAGGTGGATCTCTTGAGTTTGAGCTAGCCTGTTCTACAATAGCAAGTTCCAGGCCAGTTAGGACTCCATAGTGAGGTCCTGTCAAACAAACAAAACAGCCACAAGTTATTGTGAAATCTAGAGTATTTCAGAATATGTGGTAATGCCTACCAAGAGACTGTTATAGATATTGGCATGGTTAAGGGAATGATACACAAAGTTGATAAGAACTTGAGGGTGACTGGTCTATAGAGAACAGAGGGTTAAAGCTCAAAGGCTGGGAAATGAAAGGAAGAAATCCTAGGAGAGTCAGGGGGATAGACTCTGACTGGAGGAAGCAGGATTGAGCCATCTTAAAATATCATCCCAAAATGGTAGTCCAGAATGTGCAAAAGAACTCTTATCTCTGCTTGCTTCTAGGATTTGTCTTGGGAGGTGCGTTTGGGATCTTTACTGCCGGCATTGATACCAATGTAGGCTTTGACCCTAAGGACCCTTACCGGACACCAACTGCAAAAGAAGTTCTGAAAGACATGGGACAAAGAGGAATGTCCTACGCCAAAAATTTTGCCATTGTGGGCGCAATGTTTTCGTGTACTGAGTGTTTAGTAGAATCTGTAAGTGTCTCTTGCTTTTAAGAAATCCCTGTCTGAGCCTAGCCATGGTGGCACACACCTTTAATCCCAGCACTTGGGAGGCAGGGGCAGGTGGATGTCAGATGTCTGAGTTCAAGGCTAGCCTGGTTTACAGAGCTAGTTCCAGGACAGCTAGGGCTGTTACACAGAGAAACCCTGTCTTGAAAAAAGAAAAAACAAAACAACACACACACACACACACACACACACACACACAAAATTTGTGTGTCTGAGCATTTTGCCTGCATGTATGTATGTGCACCATGTGAGTGCCTGGTGCTTGAGGAGACCAGAAGAAGGTATTTAATCCCTTGGGACTGGATTTACAGGCAGTTGTTAGCTGCCATTTGGGTCCTGAGAACTGAGCCAGAGTCTTTCTGGAAGAGCAGCCAGTGCTCTTAACCACTGAGCCATCAGCCTCCATTATACAACTTTGAAAAGAGCAGTGTTCTTAGTGTTCTTCCTGGAATGCAGACTAGAAATGTCAGGCCTTAGTCAAATGTGATCTGTGTTCACAACTTCAGCCCAAAGGAGCTGAAGAAGAGGAGCATGAGATCTGGGCCAACCTGGGCTACATAGAACTTTGCCTCAAAGCAGACATTTAAAAATATCACATTTTGGTCTAGATTAGTCCCTAGTGTGAACTTTGTACATATTTATAATACGGGATTTGCTTTTTTTTTTAATCTTCTATAGGCAAAATGATTTTTTTTCTTATTTGGTGCTGGGATTGAACTTGAGGCTTTATGCATAGAGGATGTGCTCTACCACTGGGCCACATCTCCAACCCAAGTAATTGTAGTTAATGATTTAAAATTATACTGGAGCACATAAGAAATTTGGATTATTTCCCAAATGCTAGACTTGACTTCAGCCCTCTGGTGCCACCTGCAGGAAACACGTATAAGCACATACAAATTTTCGGGACTGCCCTTTTGAAGTAAGGTTTTTTTCTCCTCTTGAATAGAACTAAACTAGGCAGCTGGAAGCCCTGTGTTTTCTTCCCTAGTCTTGTTGGCTCGTTTCCCTGGCTCTAAACAGCATTTTTCCACCCACAGTACCGGGGAAAGTCAGACTGGAAGAACAGTGTCATCAGCGGCTGCATCACTGGAGGAGCCATTGGTTTCAGAGGTTAGTAAACAGCTCTCGAGTGCTTTTCTTTTGTGGTCCAGGACAACGTGCTGATGTTGACATTTCCCAACATGAGTGTTCTAAGGATGCTTGATATTCTTCCCTCTGACAAATAAATCCTGGCTGCTTCTGTGTTGATGCGGTTCTGGAAACTTGCTTATATCCGTCTGTGTTAGGCTTTTTCATCCTTGGCACTCTATAGAGATTTTGGACCAGTTAAAATCTTATTCTGTCTTTTTAAAAGCTACTTATTTTTATTTGTATGGGTGTTTTGCCTGCATGTGTATGTCTGTGTACCACAGGTGTGCCTGATGCCAGAGGAGGGCATCAGGTCCCCTGGACTAGAACTACAGATATTTGTGAGTCATGTGGCTGGTGGAAACCAGACCTGGTCATCTACAAGAGGAACAAGTGCTCTTTTTTAACTGCTGAGCCATCTCTCCAGCCCCCCAGATAAATCTTGGCTGATGTCTGCAATTGTAGACTCTTTGGCCAGATGCTCACAGCTTTTTAGGATGGGACTACTGAAAGCATCTCCTGCTGTTGTCAAGAGCCTTGTGAGGATGGGGAAATTACCCATAATTAACCGTAGAGGTAGATTTTGCCTAGAAAAAAAGAGCTTCTCTATTGAATGTGTGAGATGATGTTCTTATACATAGTTGGCAAGTAGGATAGTGCAGAAGCCTTAAAAGTCACTCAAGTCCTGAGCAGTCCACACCTGCAGGCTGTGCTGAGATTCATTTCCTGGCATTTCAAGTTTCTGAACATTTTTTCCCTTATTTTATACGGTTGTCAGAGTTTTGTTTGTTTTACAGTTCTGGGAACCAGACCCAGGTCCTTGTAAACACTAAGCATGAGTTTATTACTGAGCTACAGTCCCAGCCCCAGGTGTCAATTTTAATTTTTGTATATAGATTTTAATAGCTGTGTCTTTCTGCATTTGGGGACTCTTAGATTTCTACTAATTGAAAGCTAAGTGCACTCTAGGCATGAATGATTCATCCATGTAAGCCCACCACTCAGGAGGAGTCAAGGGACCTTGTCTCAAAAAACCAAGGGAGCTGGCTGATTGGAGAAGTAGCTCAGCTCAGAGTATGTACTATTCTTGTGGAGCATTGGCCTCAAGGGTTTGAACTTTCCTAGAAGCAGCATGCATTGCTGGGCTGCTCTCCATCACTCACACAGTTTGACTTAGGGGAGCAGAAGCCCCTCATCTTCTGCGAGCCAGTGACCTGCCATCAGTAAAGCTGCACTGGCTCCTCACTGCCGTGTGTGGTTGGCAGAGCGGCTTCTCTTTTGGTCCTGCTGTAGTGTAGCTTTTTCAGGGCTGTGAGCTCAGCTCCCCCTAGGATTGCTTTGATCACCTTCCCAGGAATTTATTCCATAAACAGATCAGGGTATAAGGCCATATGCTTTCATTTGATTCCAAGGGCCTCTTCCCTTAACCAGTTCTCAACTGTGAGGGGCTAGTTCCATACAACTGGAAACAGTAATTGTTTGGAATTAGAAGAGCTAAGCAAACGTATAGTTAAATGAAGCTCGGTGGTTTGGGTGGGATATATTGCTTCATTGAAATCTTAATGAGGCACTATGAGTTTGAATGACTGAACATACTTAAATTGGTTTCTTTGCATCTGTGGGGCAAACTTTTTGTAAGTATAGTCTGGTCTAGTACCTGTTAGTGTGGTAATGCTGCTTGTGTTTGCTTTGCAGCTGGTGTAAAGGCCGGGGCCATAGGTTGTGGAGGTTTTGCTGCTTTCTCTGCTGCAATCGATTATTACCTACGGTGAAAGAAATGGCCTGAAAGGAAGGAGGATGCCAGCCACCTTCAGAGCTGTTCTTTGGAGCACTTTCTACACACTTGGCATTGCTTCAGGGGCGAAGCCAGTTGTTTCCCTCTCGGTGATATGAGGAAACTACCTTGTTGTTCTTTGCCTCCAGCCATTGGAGCAGCTGTACTTTTCTACTTCTGAATTCCAACCAGGTTTTTCAGGGTAGATTGCCTCCTTGCAGTAAAAAGACCAGGAGGCAGTGTGTTGACTGTTAAGAATTGAGCTCAGCCCAGGCTCAGTCCTGACCTCACTTGGCTCTCCAGCTGTTAATAGGGAGGTGGCAGTATGTTTGCCCATAGCCGGGAAGTTCTTCCGCCTTGAAACTCTATGCAGGCATTCATCTTGAATACCAGGGCAGGACAAAGTAAACTTAGGCCATCCAGGAAAGTATGTCCTTTCAGTTAGTATCTTTGCTATCCTTGTTAAAATGCGTATACGGGGGCTGGTGAGATGGCTTAATGGTTAATAGCACTGGCTGATCTTCCAGAGTTTGGTTCCTAGCACCACATTATGGCTCACAACAATCTGTAACTCTAGTTCCAGGGATCCAAGGTCCTCTTCTGACCTCTGAGGGCACCAGACACTGCTACATAGACACACACACAAGCAAAATATCCATTTTTGCTTTCTTTTTTAAAGAACGTGTGTACTGTTAATAGTTATTTTTCAGATTTCACATCTCCCATACATGAGGCCAGGTAGCCCAAAGAGTGACAGTTCAATGGAGAGACTGGGAAGCCTCTAAAGAACTCTGGGAATGCTAGTCTCAGGGTTTGTGGAAACTGTACCTTTGTCACCAGTCATTCTGTCAGCCAGGACTCTCCCCAGAAGCACAGTCTAGTTATGTTCTCAGATGTACTGCAATATGCTGGTAACTTTTCTGCCTCCTTAGAGAATCCCAGTGGGCTGGCTGATGGTCATGCATGCAGCTTGCTGAACCAGTGGTCTCAGGCCCCAGCCCAGTTTAAAGATACATGCGTATCTTGCTGTGGTTATCCTGCTAGCTCAATCACCGTAACCACTAGCCCAGATGAAATGTGGAAGACCTGCTTACCACCACACTTGTTCTCCATTAAGTTTTTCTTTGGCTTTAGTTTTTCACTTCAACAGTTGAGCCCATGGCAGAAAACTAGCCTTTTATATTTGGGTTGTGTCACTGAACTACTTCACTACAGTGTGTGGTGAAGAAGGAATAAGGGACTCGGTCCTGCCCTACTGTCAGCTGTGTAGGAGGCTCAGCAAGGCCTGTGATTGATGATATCAAATCCAGAGTACTTCCTTGGAATGGTGTAAGTCAGTGCACAGGGCTCATGTTCTTCCCTGCTGAATCCTTTCATCCATTCATTTTGCTAAGGAAAGAACCCAAGGCTTAGAATACGCTTTTAATCCCAGCACTCCACAGACAGGCAGGCGGATCTCTGAGTTTGAGGCCAGCCTGGTCTACAGAGAGAATTTCAGTATAGCCAGAGCTACTTAATGAAACCCTGTCTCGAAAAAACGAAAAAGAAAATACCCAAAGCTTCGTACATGCTAGGCAAGTACTCTTATTAGTGAACCCCCTGCCTCTAGCCCCCAGTGAATTAATTCTGTATGATACTTGCCCTATTTTCTTAAGCATGAGGCTTCGTTACTGAAAGACCAGTTGGAGCATAGGGGTGTTTCCAATACTACCTGTGAATTCTTCATCTAGGAACATCTTGAAGCAAAGATGGTTTCTACCTGGTACCTGTCAAAGGGCTCAGGTGCCTAGGATCTTTGACCAGCTGGTCTTCCACATGAATCCCAATATAAGAAATGTTGCCATCACAACTGTCTTGGCAAAGAGGAGCCTCCAGGCTGTCAGTAGACACCAGTTGAACAAGACAAGCCTTGTCCACGTGGACTGTTCAATCAAGAGATAAATAGCTTCCTGTTTTACATGGCTGGGGGGGTCAGTATGAGCGCATAAACCAAACAGTAATTTGCAGACACATCTGTTCCTGATCTTCGGAATAAACAGTGTCCAATGGCTTCGGCTGGTGGAAATCCCACAGAAACCCTACTGGCTCTCCCAAAGGGGGGTGGGCTCTTGGTGGGGGATGCAGGTATCTGACAAGCAAATTCGACCAAAGGCTGCCATAAAAGACATCGATTTTGAGGAGAACAGACAAGTTTGTGTTTGGCCGGTGGGCCGCCTCTGCCATCTTTCCCAGGCACACTGATGACAAGGTCCACACTGAGTACCCCATGAAAGAACTACAGCAGCAATGACTTGGAAATGTGTATAGAGTGAGAAGAGCCCCCCCCCCCAACTGCCACAGTCCCCAAAAGTCAGAAGATAGGTTGAAGGATAGACAGATAAACAGGTTCCTGGAAACATCTGGGTGCAGCTGGGAAGACTTAAAATATTTGGGTTGGTGATCTTCCCTGGACTACTGAGAATACAAACATCCACACCACAGAGCTGTTTTGTGCAAATGTTGGGGTTTTGCATTTTTTTTATTAACATTTCCCTCTCACGTGGTTTACATCAATTTATAATAATCTACATTAAGTTTAAACAGAACAGAGACAAAAAAAATATATCCATACCAACTTATTAGGGGGTCCCATCCTACCTTGTCAGCAAAAGCTGGCAGTCCTCATTCACTGCCCAAGCAAGTACAGGCATGCCTGGGGTTACTGGACCCTGTCTCCTGGTGCCCTGCTGGCAGTGATGGGGTTCTGGGCAGCATGGCCCCTGTCGCAGGAGAAACACCAGATACTTCCTTGGTGCACCTCAGTTGAGGTCTGGCACCTCACTTGCCCCACTTGGGGTGGGATTTATAAATAATAGAAACCTTTAATAATTCTCAGCTCCTCCAGCCTTCCTGCTGTTACACTGCCTAAGCAACCTGGGAACTGCAGTAGCTAGTGCCCAGAAGCCAACATTCCTTGTTTCAAAGAGACAGGAGGCACTGTTTTGATGGGCTCTTATAATCTGTTTTTGTCAATTCTTTGGAAGAATACCACACACCACCACCTGAGTGCCAAGATAGTAGCTAGATGATGTGACCTCTATACTCACGGGCATTTTCTTTAACCTGTTTGAGACAGCAAGGTTCCTTGTTAAACTGCTAATAGGCAGCTGGGAAGTTGGCATTCCCTTTTCCTCTATGCACAAACTGTACCGTTCTGTCAAAGACAACAGGGATGAACAGGACTCGAAAGAGCTCTGCCTCTCACCTAGCAGACACTACAGCTTGGGGGCCAGCAAACCCATCTTTAGACTTAGCCCTGAGCACACACAATGAGAGCTGGTCTCCCCAATCCTGAGGGCCAAGAATCAACTCTGCCACATAGAAGATAACAGGAAGCTGTGTGGTAGCGCAAGCCCCTCTGACAGGAGCACCTTTCCCTGCTGATTGCCACAGACTGGTAGTTGCTCCTCAGACTGGAAATGGTGCTTTGGGAATAATTCTCTTTCTAGTAACAAGCAATAGGTTGCAGAACTGAGAATGACACCCACCAATCCTGTCGTCTGGAGCCCCAACAGAACATGCAAAGGAGGCAGCCTGTCCCCAACTTCTAGAATACTTGGGATTACCCACAGGGCTGGATTTAGAAGCTGAAGCAGTACGAGGGCAGGACCATTCCAGTTGGGTTGTGCCTTCCATTGCTAGGCTCTGGAGCATGCATGGTAATGTGGCTGCCCCGTGGCAGTGCTTGGCTGTTGAGAGTGTAAAATCTAAGGCAAAAGTACCACGAGGTATATGAGGTTCCAGGTTCCAGGACAGAGCCTGCTTTCATCTGGATACCTGATTTAGCCACAGACTTTGCCCTCCTGGAGGCCATGCCCCACTAGGATAGCCTCTGCATGTCTTCACTGTGAAGACTTGCCACTGCTGCCTGCGCTGTCCATTTTGTTCCTTCACAGCCTGGGCGCCCACCATACCCTCAGGTGCATTCCTGACCTCTCTTGACAGCAGGACACTTGTGAGTCATTACACTCAAAGAAAACAACACAAGGGGGAAGGGAACAGAAAATTCAGCAGTAGAAGAAACAGCTGAAAATGCCTCATGGTAGGCAGGAGATAAACAAACCCCAGAAAGGGTAATTCTCAAATAGAACATTCCAGAAATCAGCTCTCCAGCTCTGTGCTAAGCTTCGGATTAGTGTGCGTCTGTCTCCTTATTCAACATTTGCACAGACAGCAAGGAAAGCAGGCGTGCTTCCACAGGTGGAGAGCAAAGAGGCCAAGGGCAGCACGCAGCCCATCAGACAGGCTACCACTGCCCAGGGCCTCTGCAGAACTTTCCAATGATGAAGCAGAACCCCACGCTGCACATGCATGCAGCAGGCTGGGAAGATGGAGAGGGCAGAGACACTGCAGGGAGCCTGCAATCTGGGAGCAGGGCCAGGAGAGGAGAAGCTGGCAGCAGTTACACAGCACAAAATAAAAGTTCCCAGACTGGACTCAGGCAGAAAGAAAGTGTTGGGAGAAATGAAAGAACAAAGCAGGCTGTCTGTGCCCACACCAGCTCAGCGGCCACTACCTTTTCTGCATGACAAATATACATAAAACAATTCTTGGACAGCACGGAGCATCAGATACACGCAAAGGTACAGAGGGTGGGAGCTGGGGTGTGGCGAGGAGGCTGGGGGCTGGTCAGCTGGCTTTGTACAAGGTGGCACAAAAAATGCACAAGTTCCAGTTCTTGGAAGGTGGCTTCCCTTGGACTCTGGAGTGCTAGGCTGGGGAGTTTCTGTTGCAGTCTTTCAAGTCTTTGTTGGGCCCTAGCTGCAGGGCTGGCTCTGGCCACCCCCACAGCTGCCCCCCTCAGGCTACACATCTGTGGAGAAGTACAGTGTGTTCCGTTTCAGTTCCGCGAAGGAAATGGGAGGGTGCTGCAGGTAGTAAAGTAGGACCTGGACCTGTGGAGAAACGAGGAGACTGAGGCTGTGGTCCTCATGTTCCAGACCCCACTTCACCTTCAACGCTGAGAACAAATGACTCCAGAGCTACCACCAAGTCTGCCGTTGCTCATGTAACACACCAGGCTCATTCTGGCTCCTTCCTCCCTTTTTTTTGAAAGCCCTGGTTCCTTCACTCTTTACAGCACTAGAGGGTGCTGCAGGGCCAAGGGTCCGGGAGCCAGTCACTTCATGCCTATGTCAAAAGGGGGGCCTGAGATCAGCTTTGGTTGGACAGCCTGTCCTGGTGTTAAAGGTATCCCAGGAGAGCCTGATCCTGAAAGCAACCACAGAGCTTTCATACGTCAGATCAACCCCCATCCCCGAATCTTCTTCACTTCTGAGACTGAGGTACTATCAGGAAAGCAGCTAGCACTGGGACAGACATTCTTCGGCTCTTGTCTAGACTCACATTGTTTTGGGCTAAGCAGGGAGGATGCTCTGTAACCCTGTGCTTGGGCACGCTATATCCCACTAATTCAGCTGCCTATAGGGGAGGGGTGGTGGGGCCTCTGAACTGCCTAGAGGCCTACATAAGTGCTGGTAGTACCTGGGCCATGACATCATGGGACCAGATATCTGCAGCTGATGTGAGATGTGCTTTGCTCTCCACTTCCGAGGGTCTCAGTAACGTGGGGCCGAACACAGTGGCCAGGTTGTGAAGTGACATCTTGTTGATGGGTTCCTTCTCAGCAACCCTGAGAAAAGGAAGAAACAGAGAAGTCACTTCTCAGCAGCCCCAGGAGACCTGGGATGCCGAAGCTTAAGGCACTTGAAGAAGCTTCCTCGGGCATTAAGGGAGCTTCCCTTTCTACAGGTGGGAAGGTCATTTGGCTAAAGGATTGAGGTCCCAGCTGTGTCCTAGTATATTTCTGTAACATAACCCTAGCTCCTAGGCTATGTGCCAAGCTGATGGAAAACTGCCAGGCCAGGACTAACTATAGCATCATCCTTGACTTAGATAAAATCATTACAATAAGATGGAATACACAGGGTATGGTGGTACACACCTTTAATCTCAGCCCGAGGGAGGAAGAGGCAGTAGGATTTCTGTAAATTCAAGGCCAGCCTAGTCTACAGAGTGAGTTCCAAGATAGCCAGAGCTGTTACACAGAGAAACCCCATCTTGAAAAACTGAAGAGATAGAGAACACACTACTGTTCTAAGAACTCTTCCTATAATACCGTATACTGTCAGTCATTTTGAAGCAGGTACCACTATCATACCCACTACAGAGGTGAGGAAACTAAGTACAGAGAGGTTAGGTGATTTACCCACAGCCCAGCTGGTTTCTGAACCCTGAGTAGTGTCCCCAAGAGCCCATACTCTTACTATTTTGCTTTTTACTCAGTTATGGGGACTCAACAGTGAATAGGTCACAGGGAGGACATGCTGCCCAGGGGCAGCTGCTAGCAAAGCCTGCAGTTATACTGGCTGTGTTGTAGCAGGAACAACTGTAACCAGAGGCCAATTCCCCATTGCCTCTGAAAGGCCTGCTCTGGCTCTTTCTAGATTTTCAGGCTTCTCTTACATATTAGACCAGGTACTCTGCTGACATGTCCTCTGAGTGACAGTGGGAGCCGTCATCTGTAGCTACTGTCCCGGCAGGCTCAGTATCACTGAACACATCAAGAAATTCTGGACCTCCCATGATTCCATACTAGGAAATGTTTCTACGGTGTTGACACACACAAACCCTGGGCAGGGCCTCTCATCCTACTCTCAATGCAACTGCCACCCTCTAGGCAGGAGTTACAAATGTGCCTGCTGACTGCTTTGGAAACGGGCAAACACTTCAATGCCAGCAGGCAGCTATGCAGCTGGCTAGCAGACAAACAGACATAGAGACGCAGAGGCAGATACACACACACACACACACACACACACACACACACACACACGCCCGCCCGCCCAGTTCCCAGGGTAGAAAACCTAATGAATTTTCCCTTCCCAACCCTCCTTAGTGTGTCCTCCCACAATGTTCACTGAACTATTTGGGAACTGGTTGGAACTTTGGTCCTCGCCAAACCAGAGGGAGGGACATTGTCTCATGATGGGAAAAACAAGGCACCAGTCCCAGCTGTGTCTACGTCTCCACTGGTCCTGAAGAGCCTGCGCTCAGAGGTGCTGGTCTAATGAAGCAAGTGGATTTAAGGAACACACTAAGTGTCCTATCCTTCCAGTAGGCGTCCGTGATTAGTCCTGGGCTGAAAAGTGAGTGATGGGGACACCTTGATACTAAGTTTGGTTCTGAACACTGGAATGGATGTCACCTGAACAGCTCTGGTTTGCTGGGAGGGGCAAGGGAAAGTGAGAATTGTCTTAGTTGGAAGCTGTGGATTTTAAGTACAATTTCACTGCTAAGCCAAGCAATTCCCCGCTGGGCTTGGGGTCTCAGTTTCCCTGTTTCATAATGTATGGGCCAAGACCAGTAGGTTTCAAATTCTTAACTGGCTCATAATAAACACATTTGATGATTTAACCCAGTGCACTCATCTACAGGTAATGGAACAAAACCATACTTTTGCCTGCAGCATACCCTGTTGCTGCCCTTTCTGTTTCACTTAAAAAAAAAAAAATGCTACACTGGGCTGGTGAGATGGCTCAGTGCTTAAAGGTCCTTGCTGCCAATTTTGATATCCTGAGTCCAGTCCTAGAACCCACATAGAAGGAAAGAACTGACTTCTACAAGTTGTCCTCTGACCTCCACATGCAAGCATACACGCAGTAAATAAACAAACAAAAAGCTACACCAACTAAATGGCTGCATTTGGGGCCCACAGATCAAAACCAACCCGAGGGCCTGTGCTTTACCCACCATCACGAGGGTCTCCTTATGTTTCCCAAGCTATTCTTGATTGTTCACGAAATCCCCCTGCTTCAGCATCCTGACAACAGGCATGTACCACTGTGCCATGGCCAATTACTTTAGGCTGCAATTAGAAGCCACAGTTTCCCAACGACAGAATGTGAGTTCAGGAGGTTGAGAACAATGGCTCAGGCTTCTGTGGGTAGCCTAGCACAGGCCAGTACCCCACCTTCCCTCCTTACCTCTTCAAGTGTTCCAGCAGGAAAAGGAAGGTGATGAGGTTGGGGTCGGGCAGGGAGCGGAGTAGGTGCATCATGCAGTTTTCCTTGGCAGCAGGGTCTGACAGGGCTGCAGGAGGAGAAAGGGCTAGGGCAGGGCCTGGCTGGAGGGCCAGAAGCCTGGCCCACAGAGGGAGGACCTGATCTGTGCATGGGCCGTCAGCAGCGGGTTCCCCTGGAATTCCCCACCATAACTGGTAACATGGCTGGGGGAGCCTCTTCCTTCCTTCCTGCACTAACCATTACCCCAGTGCCACACAACCCACACTCGACGCTAGTTTAATCCAGTAGTTGCGCAGTATTACTAGGGGTGGGGATGTTTCTCCTTCAACACTTCTGATGCTGGTGCCTGGACTGAACAGCCTCTCCTAGGATTCACATTCCCCATGGGGTCTGAAGCCTTGTCTGTCTCAGGAGAAGATGGGAGATTGTGCCAGGCCTGGAAGTGGCCCAGGTAGGTAGGCACAGGAGCTCCACTGGTTAGTACCTAGGCAATGAGGAGAGCTGTTCTGTGGGGCTCAGGACAGCTGTCCCCAGTAAAGAATGGTTTAACAGCTTCCTCTCAGGGCCCTGGGAGCTACCAGCTCAGGGCCTTCTCCCCTAAGTGCCTGTGTTTCTAGGAAGCAGATCAGTATTTAAGGAGGAGCCACAAAGGGGACACACAGGCAGGGGGACAGGCGAGCAAGAGTCCACCTTAGCACCAAGCCCAGCAGGTAGCACCTCACTCTCAGGTCCTTCAGCGACAACGACAGAGAGTGCACTGGACAAGCTATTGGCAGGGATGCAACAGTTAGCCCAGCTAACCCTCAGGACACCAGAAACCTCACCAATGCCCTCCATGAAGGCTGGGTAAAGTCGGTCTGTGAGGAGGGGCTCAGGCAGTTCCCGAAAGTAGAGCTTGAGGGTACCAGCGATGGCGTTGATGTCCATGTCACTCAGCATCAGGAGGATGTCCTTGTTATCTGTGCAGGAGGGGGCAAAGTCTGAGGCTACACTAACCTGAGACATCTTCTCAGTGGCAGCCTTCAGTACCGTCCCTCAAACCTCTACTTAGCCACTGCATGTCAGCCTCTGGCTTCCCCTTGAAAAGGCAGGACAAACGTGGTGCCCACCAGTTCTGTCAACTCAGCTGTTATCTGTGGGAAAGGGCAGCAGGGGACAGGCTGGGGTCCATCTGCTGTGGCTTCCCAGAAGAGAAGAGGGATATAACCTGTCACCCAGAGTACCAGAGTTACATCCACACCACACAGCACACACCTAATCACATGTTCCAGGGAGCCATATACCAGCATGCTCTCAGCCCCTATTGTATCCTTACCTACCTGGACTTATTGCTGCTGGCATATTCAGGCATCCTGAGAACAGTGTATGCTACAGCCTGACCCCACAGGATGGAGAAGAGAAAACCAAGGGCCAGACCGCACCACAGGAGGGCTATGTTAAGGCAGACCTGCCCCATGTTAACAGGACCCAGAGACAGCAGGGAGGAACCTGAGCCAGCAATATTTACTCTGGAATCAAAAAGGTCTCAATTTAAGTTCAGGTACAAAAACCTACAAGCTGGATAACCCAGAGTAAGGGACCTGACCTCTCTGAATGCCATCCTTATTTGTAGCAGTGCTTAAGAAACTGAGTGGAGGGAGACTAAGACAAGATATAGAACACGTGACTTGTCAGGGGGACTCAGAAACAGCTCCCCTCACACTACAACAAACTACAGACCAAGGCTTCTCTGCTCTCCACCAGCTGCTCAGGTACCACCCATGCCTACTGGGCCTCCCTACTCACTGGCATCAAAGACGGCCTTCAGTGCCTGGATGTCCGTGGCCACCCCTGATATCCTGTAGATGCCAACCTCCTCAATGCCCCTCTTCTCCACCTCTTCTATACACTGCCGTACGATGTAGGGCACCTTGGAGCGCTCCCGCCTGCAGGACACGATACATAGGAGATGGATGGAGGGAGCTTGTCACACTGGCTGTGCCCTCTACTTCCTCCACAGCACGCCTCAGCCTCGGGCAGCTTTAGCCCCATGGGGTCAGGAGTCAAAGCAAGGAAGGCCTGGGGAAGAGGCTATCCCATTCCCTAAAGATGCCTGCTGAGGTACGGCAAGGAACATGGGTGGGAAAAGTTTCAAAGACTGGGAAAGAACATCCCATTGCATCCAAATGCTTGTGGGTAGGGAAGTTCAGTGGAGAGCACTTCTGTAGCAAGTGTGAGACCCTGGGGTCCCAGCCCTAGCAATGTAATAAAACAAAAATGCTCAAGGGGAAAGGAAAAACAAAGAAGGAACGCCATGGGGAGGCTAAGCAGCTAGCCCACATGATAGGGTAGGTCAAGACCTGGGAACAAAGTGCCCAGAGGGGCAGAGTGACCTAAAGGGTGTGGCCCTTTCCCAGCCAGCCACCCTCTGACTCCAGCTTACTGCTGCCAAGCCCAAATGTGGGCCCACAGTCACTGTCACTTCTTGTTTATTGCAGGAAATAGACACTCTGGTTTCCCCCTGGGACTGTCCACTGTTTTCATGTTGGACTACTTATTACTAAAGCATCCTGGAAGTCATTTCTGGCCTCCAGCTGCTTGCCTGTGGTGACTGACTGATTAAACTGCCGGCACGGGCAAGGGGACGGAAGGTGGCATTGTGGCTGGCACCCAAGTACCAAAGCCACTGGGTCTCCAAGGCAGCACCTACTTGGTCACCACGCTGATTTTCACTCCAAAGACGCCGGTCTGCTTTTTGGATGGGGTCCTCTTCAGGCTCATGTCACGGCTGGTAAATTTCATGGAGAATTCCACTTTGATCTGGTCAGGGGGTGGAGTAGGTACAAATCCCCAAGGGCATGAGTGTCACCAAACATAGGGCCTCTTTACCCAGGACTGTAAATAGGGCTACCCTCAAGACGGCAGGGTTCCATGCACACCTGCAAATGGGATGGGGAAGGGTGTGGCCAAAGAGAGGACACTGGTCTGAGGGAGGTACATGCAGCCCATCGCCCATGGAAGAGTGGCAGGAGATGCCCACCATGGCTCAGATGTCCTTACCCCATTCATTTCAATCACATCCGTATGCCAGTTCTTGGTTTCCACAGTCTGCGGATCCAGCTGAGGGGGTGGTTGGGGATGAGGCAAGGAGGACAGGTTAGAGCCCAGTCAAGGGTGGAAAGGCAGAAGTCTAGATGCTGACCTTGAAATCAACTTGTTGAAGTAGCTTGAGCCCACAGCCCACCCCCCTCCCCCAGTCTTCCATAGAGAAGGACCCCTGATCCCCTGATTCCCTGAAGAGGAGGCCACTTCCATGAGACACCATGCTTGTCAAACTGTGCTGGCTCCTGACCACCACCTTACAGTTAAATGAGTCTTGTCACCGCATTTTACAGACACAACAACTGCACACTAAGAGCACAACACACAGTACACATGTATATGATCATGGAAAATGAGGGAATACCAGAGCTTCCTGATTTCCTCGAGGGCCTCTAGCCCTTGGCACCTAGCAGAAGAATATGGTAGGTGCCAAAACCACACTATGCCCATGCGTTATATCCCCAGCTACCCCACCCCAGCATACTTTGAAGTCAACATCTCAACATTACTACGGCAAGTTTAAGTAGCTGTAAAGAACATCATTTCCAGGATAATGTAAATATTGACATCTTAAAATGATGACATCACTCTTTAAGTGTATGCAGTGGAATCTAATTACCATAGTGATTCAACACCCACCATCATCCATTTAAACACAAGAATGAGCTCATCTTTTGAGGTGACAAGACCCATCTGGCAACGTCAGGAGCCAGCGCAGTGTGATGGGCACAGTATCTCACAGAAGTTGCTTCTACTCCTTCAAGAGGCCAGAGCTGATTCAACTCTCCCTGACCACTTTTATCCTTGGCAAGTCTCTACACCTTCAGGGATACATGTGCCTCTAACAGGTCACTGTCCCCAGAGAGGGAAAAAAAAAAGATGTGTGGGTCAGCCCAGGTCCTTCCTGCGTCTGTCACTGTGAGTCTGGGGCTATTCCTGGCTGGCTCCGGGCCCGTGTCCAGCCCTGTGTCCAACAGTGAGTTCCTTGCACAGAGGAGAAATGGGATTGAGACTAGAAGGAGAATGCATCATTGGGAGAACCAGTACACACATCTTCCTTGGGCATAACCCCTGCCCGAAGGATGGCCTCCAAAAAAGACAGCTACCAGCATGACTGCTGCCTAGGCTCTCTCATTCAGAAGGCTTGCGGCCAAGGATTCTATTGAGTCCCAACAGAAACCCCAACTCTGGCCTTACTTTCCTCAGCCTCCACCCTCTCAGCTTTTGTCCTTAAATCCCTGATGTACAGCAGCACAGCCTGCTTTCCCCATTTCTTTTCTGCATCTGGACAGCTGGGTCTTAGAGACAGGGCCTCTGTTTGCCCTTCCCCAGCTGACCGAGACAGATGCGTCCCTTGCTTTGGAGATTTCTGAGACAGGGTCTTGCTAGGTCACCCTGGCTGCCCTGGAACTCTCAATCCTCCTGCCTCAGCCTCTGAGTGCTGAAATTCCAGAGGTGCGCAATCCTGCCTGGCTCATGACCAATCCTTTAGAAAGCAAGTCTTTCTAAGTACCAGCAGAAGCCTCAGGCTATTTTATTTCATGGTCTAGCTGGGTTCACCTTACATCCCTTTCCTGTCTTAGTATCCTACGACCTGGCACCTCCTCTTGACAGAGCCAGTGGTCCCCGACCCCTAGAGTGCCATCTGGACATAGCCTGAGTTTGGAAATGGCAGGGATCAGTAGTCAGGGCTGACCTGAGGTTCCCATTCTATCTCATGAATTTGGGTGGGTCACTGAAGCTCCACAAGCCTTGACTTCCTCACAGTGGTAGCCATGCCCACCTCACAGGGCTGCCTGACAGAATTTGAGCATTCTGTGTAAGTCTAAGACTTTGACAAACCCTTTGCACACACATCTCAGTTAATCAACAAAACCCACCACTGCGATTTAAGCCTTCACAGTTGTTCCCATTCTGAAGACGAGGAGAGAGACTTAACAGTACAAGGAACCTGCTGCCCAGTGTCCAAGACCTAGGGACTGTGCGCTGGGTGGAGTCATGTCTCCTTGACTCACTCTCTTTACTCAGTCTGTAGGATACCATGCAACATGCCTAACTTGACACCTGAACTTTGGAGTGGTAGCTGCTGGCACCTGGTTTTCTCAGAAGAAACACCAGGCCTTTTGGTGTGGAGTTTGGTGTCTAGCTGCTTCTAGAACAAACTTCCCATTTCCTCTCTTCCCTACACGAGTCTGTTTTGCTGGGAAGTTTTTGTTGTTGTTTGTTGAGACAGGGATTCTCTGTGTAGCTCTGGCTGTCCTGAAACTCGCTCTGTAGACCAGACCAGCCTTGAACTCACAGAGATCCGCCTGCCTCTGACTCCTGAGTGCTGGGATTAAAGGTGTGCTCCACCCACCACCCCCAGCTCCTGGGAGCTTTTGAAACAGGTAAAGCCCCTGCTGATGCTAAGATCTAGCTCTACCTTGCTCTGGGTTCACATGTTCCAGCTTTTCTCAGGACAGCTGTGGATAAGACGCCCTTTCTTGTTTTTGAGTTCCCACCACTACCATGTCCTTGGTTCCAGCCACAGGTGTGGCCCTAGCACCCCCTTAGAAAGACCTGCCCGGCTTCTTGGTGCCCTGTCAATGATGCTCAGTTTCCCAGGAGGCCTGCAGCCTTGAGAAACCAAGTCTATTTCAGGATGTCATTTAAATACAGAGAAGGGAGGGTGGGGAGCTGAGAGGGACATGGCACATTTTCCAGAGAAATGATGCTGCCTAACTTGCTGGGACTATTTATAACCCCTGGGAACTGTGGACTCTGCTATTTCCTGATTAGATTAGTGGTCAGGGTGCAGGAGCCAGCCCCGGGGACAGCCGTTAGTCCCAGAAGACAGGTGCCATCCGTGGGTCTCAGGCACAGGCACTGAGTGAAGATGTCAGACCATCTGAAGGAGAAAGGCAGAGGGGGCTTGTGAGGGGCTGGGTGGGGGAGATCCACAGGTAACGACTGCAGTGAGGCTCCTCCAGGGTAGGGCTCAGGTAAAAGAGAAACAGGTCCTAAAACACCTTAGAGGAAGTTATTAAGCAGTGGCCTCATACACATAGCAACACAACTGTCTGTGCAGTTAGCCTCAATCCCATTGTGGCCACACATTCTGCCCTCTCCCTTTAGACTACTGTCCAAGAGTACACCAGGCCACGAGCCACATAAAGCAGGGGCTCTGCTAGAATCCCAGTTAACTGTCACTCCTTTTAGATCAAAGTGGCCTTGTATTTAGGGTAGGAAGCACCAACATGGTCTTAGAAGGGTGAGGCTCAGAAGCTCCAAGGATAGAGACACTCTGAGTTTTGGGAACATCCTCAGAAGAGGAAGCCCTTCCTCCCCAGGCCCAGCTTTCACAGGCCCAGGCGAGCGACCCGTCACTTCTTGACCACTTCCCTGTGCCTGGCATTTAGGAAGCACAAAGCAAGTTTGTGCTACTCTTACCACTGGAGTCTCTTCCTATTGTCTATCAGTTGACAAAGCCATCTTCAAGCCTGCATCCTTCTGACTGCTGAGCCATATCCCATTATGCCACTTGTCTTTTATCACCAGCTAGACCACTGGGGAATGATGACTGTTGTTGCTTCACCTTCTAACATGCCCTCATGTGGACTGTTTAATCTTCAGTAAGAGGCCTGTCTATTAGCAGCTGGGGACAAACAGAAAGTCAGAACCAGCCACCTCTAGTCTCGGTGGAGAGCGGCAGAGGTGTGAGCAGTACTGAGGAAGCAGTGCCCTGGCATGTACTCGGTGGCTCAGTGGACGGACGATGCACATCCCCGATAACAATGTTCAGTAAGGCTCCAGGTCTCCACCTCTGAAAGTGAGTCCCCTCTATCACTGCTACAGCACTTGAGACCAGAGGCTCCGAGAAGCTCAGCCTTCTTCTGTACAAGCCCCTGACTTCCTGCCCCCGGGGCTGCTCCTGCCATTCCTACCATTCCTACTTTACTCTGCCTGTGGTCTCCTGAGACTGGGACCCAACCTCGCCCTTTTCTGGAAAGGACCAACTTCCCACAAAGTCTTAGAGATTTATAAAAATGAAATGCTCTTTAACAAGGGCAGTAAATCCAGTGTGCTAAAGCTGCTCTACTAAGAGGCAGCGCAGGAGCACCGTGTGACTCAAGAACCTCGATAAAGCCAGCTGCTGATAGGCCCTAAATGAAAGGTAGTCTGGATGTTTCTGAGGGTCGTTGTGTACTGTGTTTGCTGAGGGTACCATTCCTATGGCTCTGATACCAAGGGCCACAGTGGCAGTCTCAGGCTGACTTTCTCTTGCCTTTAGTCACAGACTTAGGGCTGGATCCCTTGGGAAACTAAGCCAGCCTGTCATTGGGACATACCACAGGCTTGAGAGGCACAGCAGGGCAGGCAGTGGGGAAAGGGATCTGCCAAGAGACAGCCTCGCCTTCCTGCAGCAGGGCACTTAAGATTCTGTCAACGTGGCTGCTGAGCTCAGGGAAGGGCAGAGGAACATGCCTCTATCCTGCCTTCCAGCTCAGCAACTGGGTCAGAAAAGACCAGGGTCAGGCTCAGGAAATTGTCACTTCATCTTCCCAGTGGCCTGGCAGTCTCACTGTGAAGCCCAGCCAACACTGCCTTTCTGGCTCTCTCCCTCTGGAACAGGTACATCAGGGCCAGCCAGGCTCCTCTGAAGGTGTGCTGTGGCCACAGTTTGTCCATCTCCTCCCAAGCCAGCCACAGGTGAACTAAGCTGACTCCCTATTCTAAGATACCCAGATGAGGCCCCTATTGCTCCTAATTGCTTCCCCTCCCCCTCATGAGAACTTTGAAGTTCCCAAGGCCCACATATGGAAGGGGTTTAGCAGTTCTGAAGGAGGCTTTTATTGAAGCCAGGTTAGCTTCTTAGTTCCACGGCAACCTGCCTTTTCCAGTGTTCTATCCAGGGTACTCAGCCTTTCCTGTGTAGACCTCACTCTTAGCTTCTGGCTAGGCATGGCTGAACTTTGAGGAGAAGCAGACAAAATTCAAAACTGGGCCACTTCTGGACCTTCACCTTTCCCCTAGCGCTG